AAAAAGCTCATAATTAACAACTTTTTTAAAACCGAAAGATACCCTTTCTTTAATAATAAAATTTAAAGAAGGCGCAATTTGCTATCAAACAAGTACAATATATAACGTTTTCGTGTATATTTTCCATAAAATATATTTGAATATATAAAGGCAGTCAAAATAAATGAGAAAAAGGCATACTTCTTAATAAGCCAGTTTTTACAATAGATACGCTTTGCTAGTGGTCCGAACTAAGCTCGTTAAAAAGCCCGCATCGTACCATGACTGAAATGACTTCGGAATAGTCTACACGATAATCAGTATCACAGTCTGAATCAAGGCTGTCCGATTAGAAATGACAATTTATTGTTCCTTATCCTCTTCGGTATACGCCTGTAGACCCTAGTTTATACAGTTCTATACCAAGTTATGAATTAATTACTAAGGAACATAAAAAAACTACAAGTTCAGAACCGGAGTACCTACTAGAAAGCATACAGGGACTGCTGAGGGATCCATTGATGAGTCAACCCCCTCGCAGCTGTGCCATGCAGCGGCAGAATATTTGTGAAACACCTGTGTCTGAGCTTTTAGCTAGTACTTGCGCTGCCAGTACGGCAAGCAATTACGTAAGTTACACTACTGACTCCCTGTTGGCAGCTTGGGAATATTACGCGGTTACCCCGCAGTGAAGATCGGCAAAAATATTCATATCAGAATTCGGACTGTAGATGCTTTAATATACGGATCTACTCCAAATTATAAATTTATTTCTGACGAAATTATAAAACTATAATTTTGGTGAATAGCTGGCAGGCACTGTGCCACAGCCTGGAGGGGCTTTTGATCCACTGTTTCAAGGCGAAACACAGCAGTCAGGATAGACTGATGCAGTCTGTGCCCCCATAAGAACCTGCAATCTTTCAAACTGAGAGGTAGCTGTTACCAAATCTGTAATGGACGAACTTGAATGCAGACAGTGTTGGAGTAAAGGTTTGCCATCTACATTGCTGAACAGATGGCTCCTCGGTCAAAACGGTAGCTTCTGGAAATTACTATCACTACCGTTATCAGCTTTGATGTGTTAATGAAGCCTCGATGAGTAAAGAGATCGTACTATCATATCCTTTATTTTTGCAACTCACTGAACCTTAGTGTTACCAATACAAAAGGCAAAATACTGAAGCAAATTTCACATAGTCTTGCAAAATACCTGAAAGATTAGTGGCCCTCGTAACTTCGGCCGGAATACGTGCATGCGAGCATACCACATTTTATGGAACACGTGATCCTGTGACTGTGTCGATTTACCATACCCTGTTTCTTGCCTACCTTCTAGATGGTCAGCTCTTCCAGAAATGAATGCCATTCGGACGAATTTTGCGGCCGTCTGGCTTCCCGACGGACGTGTATTCGCGATCGGCGGGCTGCAGGGCAATGCCGAGTCATCGGGCTCCTACCTCTCCTCCGTGGAAATGCTTCAGCGTCCCTTTCAAAAAGTCGGACCTTGGGAGAACGACAGTCCTGTCCAATGGAAGTTTGTTGCGCCCATGCTGGGAGCTCGTGCTTGTCATGCGGCCGCAGTTGTGGGCAATAAGGTCATCGTGGTTGGTGGCCGAACCGATCCTACGCCCGGGCAGTATCTCGTTACGGTAGAGCTCTTCTGCCCTCCAAAGGACGACAACAGTCCTGGTCAGTGGACGTCTTTAGGCAACAAATTATCCCGACAAATGCCGATTACAGCGACTGTGTTATTCAATGGTAGCATCTATATATTTGGTGAGTCTTTGGATTAACTCGATCCTACATTCTATAGCCGCTTCCGTTAATATAATCGAAAGAGAATGTTAAGTCATTCGTCCTTGCCCATGCACGTTCCTTAGCAGAAAGATTGAAGAGATTTAAACGATTTAGCAAGAAGGCATGCATGTCATTGACGTGTTCTTTTGGAGGTACGAAGAAAAAGACAATTATCGGAACCGCATTTTTCCAACTCACTGTGCCTAGCTCAAGTACGGATTTTAAACACTCCAGTCCGCGCACTTGTGTTGTGTGGTTCTTTGCGATGTTAATTTTGTGACGCTAAATGTCGATAAATGCACTATAACATTAATCATCGTGAAAGATACCAGCTAAAGCCCACTCAGCTACACAACGTTGTCTGTCATTTTACTCCGCGTTGCGAAGACCATTTCCTTTTGTAAGACAGGAGAAAATTAGCGTATGAATCTATTTCTAGCCACTAGGAAGCGGAGGACCATATAAACTTATCATAAACAAGAGGAGTATATGAGTACATATTTATACGATATACTGACGTAGAAGTATAGGATGCGATTTTATATTACAAATATAATGTCCACAGGGTAATCAAATATGATATAAAATGAAAACCTAGCCATCACGCTAGCCTCAAACCAAAAGGTAACCCTTCGCTCAACTCTAGTACAAATGCAACCTTGGATATAGTCCTTACCCTGATTTTACTCCAAAACGAAGCGTAGCAAGTAACCTAGCCGTAATTGCAGTCATATGTATAGAACCGAACATTGCAGGCTAAATGCCGTTTCGCTGATTAACCTAACCTTTAACATAAACGAGATAATTCTAATATAATTTTAGTTGTAAATCTCGGTCTCAGGATAGAACTGTAATATAAGATATGAATCGCTAGTGTATATGAAGCCTCTAGTGCCGGGGTCGGCAACCTATGACTCGTGGGCCAGCTATGATTGTGTGTGGCTCCCTCAGATAAAATTGGATTTTGTTTCCACTGTAGTGGTCTAAGTAGTGGGTTGTACTTGGATCACTACAATCATTAGGCCAAATCCCAGGTTGGAAGTTAAAAGACAGAAGTCAGCAGAAGGAGTGATTTATTGTGCACAGAACTCCTAATTGCTGTCCTAGGTGACAGTGGTCACTGGCGAAGCCAGGGTCAGTGTTGACTGCGTCCAGCCAGACTTGAGAGAGCTTGAGACAGTGGTGGCAGCTGCTTCAGTAGGATTGCGGAGCGGGTTCAAGTGATATTTTCTTGGTGTCTTGCAATTGCCCAAGGGGATGTCGCCTGCAAAGATCTTTGCTGCATCAGCCGAGAGGTGGGGTATTCAAATGGCCCTTAGGTAGACGTTCTTATTTGGACGCGCGTGTATGCTCGAGTGTGTGTGCGTGAATAAACTGCGGTCAACTGTGGGAGCCGCCGGAAAACCGAACGACAGGAGACGCTTACACAGCTGTTACTGGTTAGCCAGAAGCAGCTGCGAGGTCCAACCTCTGGGAGACGGGGGTACGAGTGAAAGAAAACATTGGAACAGTTGTTTTTGACCACACATGACTTTGGGGCAGCGGGCCTTGGAGAACAAAAGGGTGAGCAGGCATTGTGGCCGTCCGCCAAAGCTCCAATGACGTGCCACCGCCTAGACGCGTATTAGAATCAATTTAATCTCAACTAATCTCTGGCGTTTCGGCACCCCTGGGTTTGACCTGGCTGGTCCCTTTTCAGCTAGCCGACAGCAGCTGCTTCCTTTTTCTCCTGCATCCCAACGGCCGCAATAAGCTCGCTAAATAACGGACACTCTACTAAAGCACGACAACCCACAGACTTGACCTCAGCCTGGTCAAGGTCACGCTGACAGACAAGGCTATCTTACGCGCAAAGGTCAGCATGCCTTCTCACCTATAGTCCCTTGCGTTTATGTCCCCCAGACCGACGTATTTATCATACGCAAGCAAACAGTCCATTCGCGGAAACTTTCCTTGTGAACTAATAAATGGCTCCTAACTTCTGACTGCTTTATTTCATCAGAAGGAATACTCTTAGTGTAGTGGTTATAGTAGATCGCACATCCTTGGCCGACACACTCTCTCTCATTTAGTCAAAATTAACTCCTTCAACAAAAAAGCCGGCGGGAAAAAAGAGATGAGGAGTATCGTACATTTCAGGACGAATGGGCCAAAGAATTCACCTTTGTGGAGAGAGCAGGTTATGCGGTGTGTCTAATTTGCAATGACAAAATTACATCGGTGAAACGGTCAAACGTAAAGAGCCATTTCAACACACGCCATGATACCTTTGCGTCAAAATACCCTGCGGGAGATAGCA